CGGGGCCAGGGCCCCCCCGGCCGCCCGCGCCGCGGCCGGCAGGATGTGGTGCCCTTGTGGGGCGGTGTGGCCAGGGTGGCTGGGAGGCTGCTGTTCTCGCCATGCCCAGGCCCCACGCTGCCTTTGGCACCTTGCACCCTCGGCTCCTGACCCTGCAGCCCTCCTCGCCACTCCAGGGACGAGGAGCCAGCTGGGGCGGCCACAGGTGAGCCTGCCTGGCCCCACGTGGGACTCACCAGTTGGTTTTGGTCAGAACACACCAGCAAATTCCACGGCCATGAGGCAGCCTCTGGGATAGACCCAGTGGCAGGGCAGAGAAGGGCAGCAGCGCCCTGTTCACCACCTGCCGTGGCCAGCCCAGGCTCCTACAGTCCTGGGACCAAGCAGGCAGTCACATGCCTACCTCTGGCAGAGGCTGTAGAGGCCACCTCTGCGAGCACCAAGGTCCTCGCATTGCCAGCAGCGCCCCAGCCCAGGGACAGAACGTGGTGAGGACAGGCAGTGGGTGGCCTGGAGCCTGTGGCGGAGTGGGCCACTAGGTCAGGCCTACCTCCGCGGTGGCAGGCACTACGAAGGAGCCCACAGTGGTTCTGCAGCCACTCAGAGGCCCAGATGGTGACCCACTGGTCCCCACTGGCAGCTGGCCACATGTCTGGGTCCTCTGGTGCCAGGGCTCCACACTGGGATAGGGTGGTGGTGCTTCCCACCAGCACCCCCTAGCCCCTCCCCACCGCCTCACCTCTGCTGCTTGGACAGCGGTCACTCAGCACAGGAGAGGTTGCCCCAATGTGGAGGCAGCTTGCATCCAGGAACCTGCCCTGGTCTGCAGAGATGATGGGTGGGTGGAGACCACCCACTGTCCTGAGCCCCCGCCAAGGCCTGCCCTGGCTGGGCAGTGACAGCACCCGGCCCCATCCTCACTGTCCATGGGCAGGCGTGGCCGACAGCGCACAGGCATGTGGCCACAGCTCCATCTGCAGTCCAGTCCCAAGAGATGCTGAAGACACACAGGGTACTGTCACCATAGCCTGCCGCCACCTGCTGCTCTGGGCGTCCACAGGAAGGGGGCTACGTGGGGGCGTGAACACCCCCAGGGAGGGACAGCAGGCCACCAGCTCAATGCTGAGTATACAGGGGCCACCACCCACACCCCACCCTGGCGCCCCATGTACCCAGTTCAACACCAGCTCCGTGCTGTCCAGGGACCACACCCTCGCATCCCCACCCTCGCTTCCCGTGGACAGCGAGCCTCCGTGGGGCTATCGACCACCTCATTCACTGCAGGGACCCACGGCTAGGCTGAGGGCCTGGCCAGCCTTCCTGGAGCCCACGTGGCCCTCAGGTGGCATGAGGGGTCCCGGACCTTCCTGCCCCAGCCTCCCCGAGGCAGGCTCTCATCAGAGCGCCCGTCTCAGCCCATGCCCACCAGCCCCCGGCCCAGCCAGCTCCGTGTGCAAGAGAGAGGCCACACCAGGAACGTGTGGAATGTGTCCACACCAGACTGAGTCTGCAGGCCACTGAGCTGGGACGGACAGCCATCTCGCAGAGCCAGAGCTGCAGTGTAGCTGACCACCTGTGGGCTGGCTGCAGCCAGCTCGGCCACCCAGTCCTTCTCGGTGGTCAGCAGGGTAAGCAGTGTGCTGCACGTCCTGTGGGTGCCACTGAGCTGTGGCCTTGGGTGGGCGGGAGGCGTGGATGCCAAGGTCCATGAAAGAGCCAGCGAGTGGGAGCTTCAGCACAGCGTGAACGTGGGCACACCTAGCGTGGAGAAGCAGCACAGCCTGGCCCGTGACAGCAGGCCCTCTGGGCTGACATGTCCTCGGCATCACTTCCCAAGAGCCCCAGGCCCTGCCAGGAGACGGAGTCATCTTGGGCAGCACTGTCACCCACCTCAAGGGGCCTGTGCCCGGGTCCTGGCCCTCGGGAGCGCTGTCCACTCTACACAGAGCATGTGTCCAGCATCCCGATGTGCCACGCAGAGGCTGCATTTGGAGACGTGGAGCACCCGCAGAGGTCATGCTGAAGTGGGGCAGCAGGTGGCTGGGGTTAGGGTGCTGGATCCCATGTGGCTGGCTCTGTAGTTCGAGTCCTGGGCCTCGTGGCCATCGTGTGGCTCAAGTCCTGGACCTAGCATTGAAAAACATGCCGGTCACGTGTGCGTGCGTGCCCAGAATCCTGAGAGGATGATGGAGGGAAAGGGACTGTGGTGTGGCCACCCCCCCAGGGGTGATTTCTCACTGTCCCTGTCTCTCTCCAGGGGGCACATGCACCCCATGATAAAAACCTAACAAAAAAAGTAAGTCACAGTGGGGCACTGTCGGCACCCCACAGGAGGGACAGCAGAGCCACCGGAGGGTGCTCCCTGGGCAGCGCGTTGGTGACCTGGGTGCCGGGGCTGGGGGGCTCTCTGCCCCATCGGGTGAGGGCTGTGTGGTTCCCATGAGCTGAACTGTTGGCCTTGCTGCTGGGAGCAGGTGGGAGCTGTACATGGGTAGGCCTGAACCTGGGTTGTCCCATGTGAGCAACTGGGTCTGAGCCCCCACTTGGGGCGGTGGGCGGCATGGCCCTAAAGGTGCTGGGGTCCAGGTGGCTGGCTCTGTAGTTCGAGCCCTGGGCCTGGTGGCCTGAGCCACGCTGCTTGTGTGTGGGCGCCAAAATCCCGAGAATGGAGCAGGTACTGAGACGTGGCCATTCCCCAGGGTGACCTCCGTCTCTGGCAAGGCCTTCCCTGCCTGAAGACAGGGCCCTAGAGGAGCAGGACAGAGCCCACCACATGGGGCCATGGGGCTTCCTACCCTGCACCGTCCACACCCCGGAGCCCTTAGACACCAAAAATGACACTCAGTTGCCGCTGGCAGGCGGGAAGGCCACCTGGCCTGGGCTGGGAGGAGATAGCCCTGTCCTGGGGCACCAGGAAACCGAACCAGTGAGCCTGCAGCCCTTGAAGCCTGTGAGAGATACAGGAGGAGCCAGAGCCACTGTCCTGCCACACCTCCACGGGTACTGGCCGGGGAAGGGGGGCACCACAGACAGAGCTAGGCGGGGGAGCAGCCAGGATGGCGACGGCAGGGGTTCTCCCACAGGGAAGTTACGAGGGTACAGAGGACAGGGAAGGACCTGCAGACCCTCTAGGCCCCAGCAGCTCCCCGCAGGCCCCAGCACCGAACTGCAGGAGGGCAGCGTGAAGGGCTGAGCGGGGCCTGCCTGTCCCCAGACAGTTACTCAGGAGCTGCAGCACTGCCTCGGCCCAGGCGGGTGGGGAGCCCGGCCACCCTCACCTTGCTCCCATGACGGCTGACAAGGCCTACCGGTGCCCTCGGCCCAGCTGACATGCCACAGTGTACCTGCTGCGGTGCCCACACCTGTGTCCATGCTGCCCCGTCCAGCTGCTCACGCAGGCCCTGCACGGCACCCCTGGCACCTCAGCCCTGGCATGGTGCTCATGGCCCACAGTAGCTGCCAGGCCCTACTGCCGCTGCCCGGCCTGGAGCCCACGCACTGTAGCAGGCCCAGGAGGGAAGGGATTTGGTGAGCCCCCCAGGTGCTTAGACCAGGCCCAAGCCCCAGGCTGTGCAGGGCGCCCACCTCACTGTCATCTGCTGCCCAGGCCAGAAAGCAACAGCTGGTACGCATGTCCCAGACAGACCCTACTGGAACTGGAACCAGAGAAGAGCAGGGGCTGGCCTGTAGCTGAGAGGTCAGCTTCCCCGCTCCACATCCGTGGAGACCCGCTTTCGGCACCTGTAGGGGTGAGGCGGCTGGACGCAGCGACATCTAAGGGCCCAGCCAGCCACCAGTCAGCCTGGGCCTGGCACCCCCTGGCCATGCTGCACACGGGCTCCAGGAGCTCAGAGGTGGCCGTGTTCCCCAGGGCCAGGCTTCAGTCTCCACAGTCCCCTGGGAAGATGTGGGCGGGTGTCAGGTGACAAGACACCTCGGGTCAGCACCAAGGAAGCTCCTGCACCCCCACCAACCCAGGGTAACCAGGATCTCGCCATCTGGTGAGAAGGCCAGGGCCCACACAGCAGGGGTGTGGTGGGAGAGGGGCTGCCGGCAGAGACCCTGGAGGCAAGGCTGACGGTGGAAGCCAGGACCTGGCAGGGAGGAGGGGAGGTGGTCAGTGGAGAAGGCACAGCCGTTGGCCCCAGCCTGGCCCACATCCCTGTCCCAGTCTCTGGTCCTGGTGGCCTAGGTGT